ACGCCTCCACCAGTCAACCTAACCCATTGGCACCGGAACAGAGGAACCTTGAGAGGACCATAGTCAAGTTCCCATATGTCCTCGATGGCACCGTAATACGTGGCAGTTGTTCCATCGTGTCCCATGGCATCGACACGAACAGCGCTGTTTTGGTTCGTGCTCTTCATGTCTTGGGCTCTCGTGTAGAATGTGTACCCATTGATCTCATATCCCTGGAATGTCGCGATAGACCCAGACGGTCCCCTCGCCAGGAAGGCAAGTTGTTGGTTGATCGACTCGTTACCCATGAGATGTTGTCGTAGCCACGCGGGGAAAGTATCAATGTGATGCCGTGTAATCCATGTATCGGACTTACCGATGTTCCTGGCGCGAACTAGAGCCAAGTGCTCCTCGATGTAAGGAGCTACCAATGAAGAGTGTTGCAGAACAGTGAAATGGGCTTTACGGAATAAATTGTTGTCTACCGTCATTATTGCTTTCCTTCCGAGAGTTCCCTTTCCCCGTAGTCTCCCTTCATGGCGTGATTCAGGTACCCCGATTGGGCGAAGGTCTTCGATAAATTCTACGCAAAATTCGATGACCTCCTCTGTTCCATAACCCTTGGCGATGCTTGCCTCTAGACGAGCACGGTTACGAACATACTTCTTCAGAACGCCCATGTACCTCTCGAAAGGAAACATGTTGTGTAGGTACATAGGCCCGAGAATACGGATCTCTTTCACAAGGTGACAAAGCAGATGCGTCATTATATTGAAAAATGAAGGTGGAAATATCAACTCAAAACTGACGAGACATTGCACCACTTCATTCTGAAGGGCTTCTAATCTATCCGGATCGATGACCTTCTGCGAAATTGCGTTCATGAATGCACATAGCTTTGTTATTGTTGCCCGGACATTGTCTGGAAGGATACCCCTTATTACAACTGGTAGCAGTTGTGTCATCAACACGTGACAGTCATGAGACTTTAGGTTTATGAACTTCTTCTCCTTCGTGCTTATTATTCGCTTGATATTCATGGAGTATCCAGACGGTACCTTTATGCTCTCCAAGCATTCAAACATACTTTCCTTCTCTGCCTTGCTAAGAGTGTAGCTGGCTGGACTCAAGTAATGGCTTCCTTTCTCCTTTGGTTCCGGGTGAAGGTCGCCGCGTTGTTCCATATGCTTCAGATCATTACGTGCTTCCAGTGTATCTTTCGACTTTCCGTATACACCTAGGAAGCCAAGAAGGTTTACGCAAAGGTTCTTAGTGAGGTGCATCACGTCGATTGCGTGGCGTACGTCCAAGAATTCCCAATATGGTAACTCCCAAAATATAGAGTTCTTTTTCCACATCGCCGCGTGACCATCTTCGCTCTCTATATGCTGGCTTCCAGGCCCCTTTCCGAACACTACTTTAAGATCTTTAACCATAGCAAACACTGTTTTCCCGCTGCGATGTTTAGGCTTCGTACGGTGGTCGGCCTTATGTTCGAAGTGCTTGCCTTTCTTCCGTACCGGGTGGTTTGCTGCAAGGAATCGACGATGACCCATGTATACAACCTTCCTACAGTGCTTAAGATACGTACTTTTTGTTTCATCCATACAGTGAGTGCAAGCCTTGTACCCCTTGTTGGACTGTCCGGATAGGTTGCTAAGTGCAGGCCAATCGTTGATGGTTACGAACAGCAGCGCTCGTAGGTTAAACTCCTCCTGTTTGTCCTCGTCCCACACGGGGACACCTTCCTTCTTCCACAACTGTTTAAGATCTTCGACCAGTGGTCTTAGGTACACGTCGATGTCGTTACCAGGTTGCTTGGGGCCTTGAATAATAATCGGCATCATTATGTACTTCCTCTTCATGCATAGCCAGGGGGGGAGGTTGTAGATACACATCGTAACGGGCCAAGTGCTATGGCCGCTGCTCATCTCTCCAAAAGGATTCATGCCATCCGTACTCAAACCAAACCGTATGTTTCGTGCGTCCTTTCCAAATTCTTTAAATTTTCTGTCGATGTTTCGCCACTGCGAACCATCGGCGGGGTGTCTCAGCATCCCGTCCTGTTGACGCTCTTCAGCGTGCCATCGCAACATTCTAGCATTCCCCTTGTTCCTGAACAAACACCTTAGCCATGGTATTATAGGAAAATACCACATCACCTTAGCAGGAATTCTCTTCTTTGTTAGCTGCCCGTCAACTTCTCCTGGATCGTCCCGTCTAATCTTGTATCGTAGTGCTTTGCAAACAGGGCATGCTTCTAGGTTCTCATACTCCTCACCGCGATATAGGATACAATCGTTCGGACATGCGTGAATCTTATGAACTTCCAGTCCTAACGGGCAGACTATCTTCTTAGCCTCGTACGTTGTCTCGGGCAATTTGTTTCCCCCCGGAAGAATGTTCTTGACGAGTTTCAATAAATCGCCAAATGCCTTGTCACTAACCCCATTTTTTGCCTTCCATTGCAACAACTCCAGAGTGGTATCCAACTTTTTGTGCCCCTGCTCGCAACCTGGGTACAACGAAGTTCTGTGGTCCTCCAACATCTTGTCCAATTTATGGGCCTCCTTTTCACTTTCGCAGTCTTCCCTGGCGTCCTGCAACATCTGACCAAGATCATCCGCAACGTCGTTACCATCAGCAGCTATTTCCTCCTCGCCCGTTTGATTTCCTTCAAATCCAACATACTGAGCAAAGTCCGGAATATTGTCGTCTTCCACTTCATCTTCTTCCATTTCAACACCTTGCTCTCCGTGGGATGTCCAACAATTATAGCTTGGCATGAACCCCGACTCAAACAAGTGGAAATGAATAGTCCTGGATGCAGAATACTCCTTCTGATTCTTACACTTATTGCATGGACAACAAATAAAACCCCTTTGCCTGTTAGCTTCGGCCACTCTCAAAAAATAGTGCACGCCGTCAATAAACTCTTTGGACCGCCGATCAGCGTACATCCATTGCCGATCCATCTACATGAGTCAAAAAAACCGCACACAAATAATTATTCTTACAATAATGACAGTCATACAATAATTATAAGATATCTTTATTCATACAAAAATCATAAAATATTACACCAAATAATTCTTAAAAACTATTTGTAAAGTTTTAAACTAATTTTAATGTGTTTTACTTCTTTTAATTTTTATTTTAGTTTGTTTTCTATTATTTAATATTAACTTTCACTAGAGTTTTCCTTCTCAACTATTTTATAAAACCTTGTTTAGCAAATGAACTAAATTTCTATATATTCTTTCTTCCCCACACACATTTTCTCTCTCATCAACTTACAACTAAATTTTGGAGACAAAAAAAGTGTGCAAAACATAGGTGCAAATGTAGTATGACAAAAAAAAACATTGGAGGATGAAGTTGCAAACCTTTTAGGCACCTCCGATTTGTATGTAATCACCAAAATAAATTCAATAGAAATTTTGGCATGACCTCCCCTCTTTTTTGAAGAAATTTTGAAGCTTGCTCGGGCAGCTGGAGGAGGAAGAAGACATATATATAGGGGTGAGACTTTAGTCCCGGTTGGTAGCACCAACCGGGGCTAAAGATCACCGGGATCATTAGTCCCGGTTGGTATTACCAACCGGGACTAAAGTTAAGATCTTTAGTCTCGGTTGGTAGCACCAACCGGGGCTAAAGATCACCTGGATCTTTAGTCCCGGTTGGTAATATCCCGGTTGGTATTACCAACCGGGACACCGGGATCTTTAGTCCCGGTTGATAGTTAAGATCTTTAGTCCCGGTTGGTCCTACCAACCGGGACTAAAGATCCCGGGGCGGCCTGACAGGTCCTGACAGCATTCGAACCGGGACTAAAGATGATCTTTAGTCCCGGTTGGTAACACAAACCGGGACTAAAGATCAAATATGCCCGTTACCCTTTTGAACCGGGACTAAAGATCATCTTTAGCCCCGGTTTTTATTGCATCCGGGACTATTGTGGAAATCGGCCGACCGACGAAAGATGGTTTCTCTACCAGTGCGTACATATGCACGTCTCCGGGAAGCAAGATCAGGATACATATATCTAATCTGGTCCATTATTAACAATAATATTTTTTAAGATTTGTTGAAAAAAAGTCCCAAAACATTCAATTTTAAAAGAAAAAGCACCTTATTTTTAATTTTAAGTTTAGCTCCTTTTTAAATGATGAAGAAGAAAATAATAATTACTTATAGAGATGAATTAAATATTACATAGTATGAAGATAACAAATACCTAATAAAAATTATTTAAGCAAAGACAACAAATAAATTTACGAAGAAAACGTACTTCTGAAGCTTGGCAAGTGTTATATGGTTGATTTTTAATCCTTATAAGTTTTTCAAATATAGGCTTATGATATACATGCCCGCGTGAATACGCGGGCTACCATCCTTGTTGTATGTAAACCTTATCCAGCTCATTATTGTATCTACTCTTAATGCGCACTTCGGTCGCGTTTGTTCCTGTATCTAGGATGAGATAATATCTCGTTCTCAGTGAGCATGATTCCCGAACTGCTAAACAACATATATATTTTTCGTACAGAAAAAATCATATAAAAGTTTCTAAAAATTCAAATAAATTTATTTTTCAAGTTTATTAATCATATGCTAATTGCTTGCTCCAGTTTCCATCTGGGTTGTTCAGCGCGGGAACAAACGCAGTCTTAAGTACCTATAGTATATTTCTTTTTTATATTAAACGGTATATTTCTGACCTTGTTAAATTTCTAATATTGCTATTGGTTATTGAAGATGTACATGTACCTGCATGTGCATTATTGGCGAAATGACCAAACCAAATAATTTCAGCACATTGACCTAGACTATATACATTTCTTTAGTGATGTCACGGAACCTTCTCATGTCCTAGCTGGATCTGCCAACGGTTATATAAACAATTTGTCAGTTGTGAGCAGCAAACGGTTATATATACACACACAAATCATCTCCATGAACAAAGCAGCTGAAACAAACGTGTTCATTGATTCCTCGCAGAAGCAAAGCATTCGACAGACATGGCGGCGGAGGCGGCGCAGGAGCCCAACCAGGAGTTCCTCGATGCCTGCATGCCGTCGCCGTCATCGGCCAGGGAGGCGGCCCGCCGCCGCGTGCCGCCGCTCAGCGACGACGACATCGGGTGGTTCCACTGCGAGGCCTGCGACGAGCCGAGGCTGCTGTACGACCGCCGCCGCGTGTCCGGCGGGTGCGCGCACGAGCTCTGCGTCGCCTGCGTCGTCGGCCACGTCGAGGCCCGCGTCGCGGCGGGGGAGGTGCCCGTGCGCTGCCCTTTCCAATTCCCGGCCGGCTCCTCCCACTGCGACGCCGTCGTGCACCCGGAGGACTGCAAGGACCTGCTCTACATAGGCGACTTCGACGCGTGGTGCGTCGCGCTCTGCGAGCTCGCCGTCGGCGGCCCGGGCGCCTTCGCGCGCTACCCCAACCCGGACTGCGGCGAGCGGCTCGACACCGGCGCCGGCGGCGAGCGCGCGGTGTCCGGGGCGACCTGCCTCCGCTGCTCCCGCGCGTTCTGCCTGCGGTGCGAGCAGCCGTGGGACGAACGCCACCGTGACGGCGAAGGCTGCGTGCCTCCCGGAAATGGAGACGCTGCCGCGCCATGATCATCACGGATGCATGACTCACCGATCACCATTACTCCGATTTGGTTTATTTTCATCATTGCTCGTATCTATGTCAAACCTCGAAACTTGTTTATGCAATTTGATACGGAAAATTGCACTCGCATGTAACGCATCTATATACAGCTTTTCTTGGAAATAAAAATCCTTGAGCTCGAGTGTTCGATCGACAATTTGCAATCCACTGACATATGAGCCCTACAATCATTTTAATTATTTATTTTGAATTTTTGCTGTCAATGGGCCCTATATAATTGTTTTAATTATTTGTTCAAAATTTTTTGCTTTCATGGATAAGTAGGTGCCACGTCGATGCCACCTAGGATGAAAGACCAAATCAAATAAGCCACATAGGTATCACACGTTAGCTTATCGGACTCAATATTATCTTGGAACCTCACTTACACCGGTTTTGCAGGATAATGATGTGTTGTACTTAGTTTTATGGTTGAGTGATATATAAGATTGAAATTCGGCTCATAGAAAAGGGACATATGAGTGAAATTTTTCATTTCAACGGAGTGACACAATTGTTCTTGCAGGTAGAAATCGGCGGGTGACCCTAATGAGCGGGAGCGTGGGCGCGCGACCAGTCCGCTCCTACTGCTGCTGCTGCTGCTACCGCTCTTCTAGTAGTACTACTACTACTCGTCTACTCCTACTCATACTGCTCCTGCTACTACTACTGGCGCGCGCTGCTGCTGCTGCTACTACAGTAGTACTACTACTACAACAATACTACTACGTGTATATATACGTGTATATATATATACACGTATATAAACTTTATATTGATAAAATACAAAGTTTATACATATATATACAAAGTGTATATATATATATATACACACATGTATATATAATTTTTATGTGTACCAAAAATATATATGTATATAAACTTTGTATACGTATATACAAATTTTGTATACGCGTATATAAACTTTATATACGCGTATACAAACTTTGTATATGTATATATTAAAAACCGAGAGAAAAAAACACGAATACAAACTTTGTATATATACAAGTACAAAATTTGGTATACATATGAATATAAACTTTGCATAAATACATCTTTAAAAAACGGGAAAAAGAAACTTTGCATAAATACATCTTTAAAAAACGGGAAAAAGAAAGAGAAAAAAAACCGAAAAAACCAAAACAGAAAGAGAACGAAAAAGAAGGAAGAGAAAAAAAAACAAAACAGAAAGAGAACCCAAAAAAACCAAAACAGAAAGAGAATCCAAAAAAGGGAAAAGAAACAAAAAAAACAAAACAGAAAAACCGAAAAAAAAACAAACAGAAAAACCGGAAAAAAACACTCGCGCGGGCGGCGGACCTCCACGCGCGACACGTGTCCAATCACGCGTGAGAGGGCGCGCGCCACTGGTCGCCCATTAGCTTTTTCGGAAATCGGGCGCGTACGCGCTGCTTAGTCACACCCAGAAACGGTTTGGGTTTCCTGTTTCACTGTTTGTGGGCCATGCATGCCATGACATTGTGTTGGGCTGTCCAGCTAAGACAGTTTGCCTAAGCCTACCAAAAAGTTTTCTTAAGCCTACGGCCTACCAAAAAAGCAGCCCACGTACCTTAGTCATGGTTAGAGTAAAATGAAACCGGTTGAATTGGTTATAACAGTGAATGATTGATAATGTCAAGACTTTTGTTATCCTTATAAGGTATAGAGATATACACACATCATGCTGTTAGGTTGAAGATATATTTTTTTTAGATAATGGAGGTTGTCAGTGATATGGGCCCGGGGTACGCAAGATAGAGTGAAAGAATCTTTCTGTCTGACCACGTGGCCGCGCGACCTATTACCCCCCTTGGGGGAGAGCGAGCGGTCGTGAGGCGGCCAAGCGGCCTCGGGGTGCCCTGCCGCACCCCTCGGGCCCGTAGGGCGCGTTGCCCCGAGGCCCTCATCCGGCTGCCATGTGGCGGTCGAGCGGGCGGAGAGGGAGGCGCGGCCGAGCGCCTTAAATGAGTGGCACCCCAACCGCTCCTCGCCACATTTAATGCGGCGTGGGCGGACGTGAGGCACCGCCCGACTGACGTGTGTCAATCAGGCTTGACCGGCCGCAGGCGGATGGAACAGGTGGCAGCACACCCACGCCCGCCCTCTGTCAGGCGGAGTGGGGATAGGTATGCCCCTCCCATCGGCACGCAGCCGAGCGTGCCTCCCATCGGAGGACGACGCTGGGACCCACTCGGGGACGAATGGCTACTTTGCTGCCGATCGGTGGCATGGACGGCGGCCTGACCCAGGACATGTGGGCCCCCATCCAGTGATGGATTGTGTAAGGCGGTGCATATGGTATCCCCTTAAGCTATAAAAGGAGGACCTTGCCCACCGAAAGAAAGGACGCCACTCAAGAAGCTTGAGACTAGGGTTAGAACTCCCTTGTAATAGCACAAGCTTAATCACACACACAGGAGTAGGGTGTTACGCTTCTCAGTGGCCCGAACTTGTATAACCCCCGGTCTTCCATTCTTTCGCGATCTATCTCACCAGCTAGATCCATAGCGGAAGTACGCTCTTGATCATCGTGCCATATCCCCCGGCCGAACTCACAAAGGGGGGGGGGTCTCACGATCTCCCACTAGAGAGGATCACTCCTTGACAGAGGTATACAGGAGTACTGGGTTTTTCGCATTTTGATCCTTTTAGATATTCTACAAATTGATCCCAAGAAAACTTATTTTAAAAATGGTCCTTTTCGCGGCGCTAATGTTATTGGCACCATGGTCCAATATGATGGCTCCAATGACATTGGCGCCATCCCCTCCGTCCTCGGGTGAAAGCTAAGTCACTAATGTGAAGGGATGACGCCAACGACATTTATGCCGAGGACCAATTTGCAAAAAAAATTGAAAATGACTTATTTGTCATTAAAAAGGGATCATTTGTAAATAAAAATATTTACAAATAGATTCTTGGCGCTAGCTTCATTGGCGCCGAGGACCTATTTATAAATATTTTTTATTTACCAGTAGGTCCTTTTTTACAAAAATACAAATTGGTCCTTGGTGCTAATAACGTTGGCGCCGTCCTCCTTCATATTTATGACTTAGCTTCCACTGGGGGCTAGGGCGATGGCGCCAATGTCATTGGCGCTGTCATGTTGGACCACGGCACCAACGATGTTGACAGCACAAAAGGACCATTTCTAGAATAAGTTTTTTTAGGGGTCTATTTATAGAATAAGTTTTCTAAAAGTATTAAAATGTGAAAAATTCAGTAGGATTGTGATGCACAAGGACATTACCAGCTTCTTGTTCATATCCATTTCTTTTCTGTACGACGACTGATCTGTGTAAGACACATTGCACAAACATGTTGATCTTCCGGTTTAGCTCAAACTAGCATAGTACCAGCTTGCATACTTCCCCCTCTTACAAATATACACATTCAATATTTTTTTTAGAGATTAAAGATGAAGGGAAAAAGTCTCTGATGCCTCTCATTAAACAAAGATGGTTGTGGATGACACAGTGGGTGGTTACAGATAAGATAGGAAAGCAGCAAATGACGGGTGGTTCATGGAACAAGTAATACTACAAAAATCTTTATACTTTTAGATAAATTTTAAATGCGGAATTCATATATTTGTGGACAGATAAGTACTTTAGCTAGTTGTTTAGCATGAACAAGAATGTTCAACAAATGAGAACTATTTGATATTTCCAATGATCTCAAATGTTCTAACGTGACAAAAATATTCAAGGGAACACTACATTAGCAAATCAATATGTTCAACAAATGTTTTAAAAATGGCAACATTATTAGTTTATTAGACACGTATGTCAATGTACTCTACCATTGTGCATATATGGAGCATGGGATTGGGATGTGTCAGGACTCAAGAAGTCAGGAAACTTTCATTATGCAGGTGATAAGCCAAATTGTCAAGTGAACGAAACATGCATGTGGGAGCTCATCGTTGTTCTTCTTCAGCACATGGTTCTACATCGTACTAATTTTATGTTGCCGTGGCACATTCTTGATGTAACTTCTCAATTCTACATGTGAAAAAACGAACATCATCAATTACAAACCCGGAACAATTTGCAATTGCCACTTTCCTGATACAACAAAGATCTGTCTCCTTCAATGGTGTATATATAGGATGTCTCTGAACTCGTCTTGCATGATCACCACAGTCTCTGCCACGGTGTTTGGCTTCTGGTAATAGTTGTGGGTGCCAATGTCGACCTCCTATGCAGTGTTGTGGGTGCCAATGTCGAGGACGGTGAGATCACATCGAACTTCCAATTTCAGAGCTCTGGCTTACTTTGGCAATGAACAAGCTGGTAAATATCCTGATGCATCCCAATCCTTGCCAGATTTCGCTCCATGGTTTTTATTAAATTACTTTGACAGCCACGAAAAGGAATCACAAACTCATCATTCCATAGACATGAGGCAGAGAAACAAGTGATATATATACACAGCGATCTCACCTTATACATCATCAGTATCTCAGTCGAAATAAGTTTTAGAGCGGTGGCCTGGTTGGAATTTAAAGTGCAGTGATGACACTTGTACAAAAAGTAGATGCATATACCAGTGGAGAGAAAAAAAAGAGAAAGGGAAAGAAAAAATCGCCACCAACTCACCACCGTAAAAGGGGAAAAGGGCGAGGTGAGCCGTGAGTGAGGGGAGGGCAGGAAGTGTGGTTACGGTTTGAGATAATCCATTGTATGCCACTGAGTTTGTCATAGGTCTACAATTTGCCACTGACTTTGTCACGTTCTATAATATGCCATTGATTTTTGCTTAACTCCTACGATTTACCACCGCCATCCGGTTAGTCTCCGTTAGTACTGTACACTTTCATCCAAATGACCAAAATACCCCTGAGACAAAAACTTTCAAATTTTGGATAAAAATTCTGAAATGTCAGACTTTAAATTTTTGGACAAATTTTGAATGTTTACAATCTTATGCTTATAATATGGTATTTCGGAATTTTTGTCCA